GGGTATGTATACGTTTCGTGGCTCGTTTCGAAAGTTAAGCTCCTTCACGGGTATTACCCTCACGACGAGAGCACTTTGCCATCAGCATCATGACCAACGGGAGGAGCTCAGGTGCGCCTCAACGCATCGAAAATCAATTATCATTTTATCGCTCGTCAAAGAGATTTCACGGCCGAAGCACCTACATATACCCCCTCCTTATCCTCCCCGAGGCATCGGGTCAAGCCTTTCTTTCTTCTTCTTCTTCCTCATAAACGTAGCGTGTGTGTGTGTGTATACATATATGTGAGAATTAACTCGGTCTGGAGGAGAGGTCAGCTAAAACAAGAGTGGCAATTTCGCACTATATACTCGCACTTCATCCATCTGCTCGCGATCTTCTCTGATTTTACGAGAGAGAGGGAGGGAGGGAGGGAGGGAGGGAGTGCGCACGGCAAGTAACAGCTAATGCATTATACCCTCTGCGATTTAAAAGGAGGCGTACAACCCGTACACTCGCGAGGGGATAATGATAATGACGAGGAGGAGGAGGAGAAGGAGAAATAACGAAGCGCACACAAGTGCAATTGCGAGTTGAACGAGGGGTGGGTATAGGTATATACATGTGCAAGGAAGGAGGAAGGGAGGGCTCTGCCAAATTAGCCGAGATTTATGGCCTGACGCTTACGTTATATTATTACGCGCTCGTCGTTCAATATTCCATTCTATTAACATCGCATTATATCCGCTCTATACACGCGCGCCGTGCCCCTCCCTCCTTCGCGTTATCCTCGTCGCAGTTTGTTGTAAAGTCATCATCTTCCGACGGTCTTTTCACTTAAAGCATTTTTTTTTTTTTTTTTTTTTTGCTGCACATTTAACATATTCAGAAAACAAGATGCGTGGATTACGGGAAGTTTATTAATATGCAGCGTAGCCGAGATCGGCCAATGATTTTTCTGGGGAGAGTACGAAATTGAGGCTGCATGCATTCAGTTGTATAAAAAAAAATTGTGTTTTTTTTACGTTTGCTTCGTAGGTATATATACGTGTAATTGAAAATTTATTACAAACGCTGAGAGGGTGCAGAAATTGGCTATTGATGCTAATTTTTTTCCTAATGACGGTATTATACTTGTGTACTTTTTTTTTTTTTAATCCTCCCATCCACGCAGATCAAAATAATGAAGTATACATCAAGCGGCCAACTTTACATATATTTATATACTTCTCGTCTTTTTGGACATAATATACGTGCAACAGGAGGCAATAGTTCTTATCTGTCTGTCTCTTAGATTTGAACAATTAAAAATAGAGAGAGGGAGAAAATCGGTTCGGTACATTGAAGGAGGGCAAAAACGACTTGTATATAGATTATAAATTGAGTCTATCTATACGAAAGAAGAAGAGCCTCGGACATGCACCTATATCTACTACTTGATATATATATATATATATA